CCAGCCCGGGCGGCGGGGCCGGCCCCGCGTTGCCGGGCAGCGCCCCTTCCCTGGCACATTTGCAAGTGAGATGCAGAGAATGCAGAGAGCGCCTGCGGAGCTCGGGTGACTTTTAATCTTTTATAGCGGCGCAGGGGTGTGGGTAACCGGGGAAATGGGTAGCCACAGCCTCTAAAACGCCTGGTCTGACAGCGATGAACCCTTGACCTTGCATAGATGGGCGAAAACCTCCATGTTTAAGAAAGAAATGATTCAATATTACTTTTTTCTTAATCTACTCATTGACCTGTTCTGTCACTCAGCAATTACTCTATTCTAGTTCCCCTCAGAAGTGAGGGATTTGATAGCCTTGTTCTCTGATACATCTTCTAAATGTATAAAGTAAGTATCAGACATTCCTCTTCCCTTCTGAAATCCTCATGTATCTCAACTCCGTCACTGCCAATGATGAAAGCACAGTGTATTCTTAATTTACATTCAGCTGCTGCTACTTGGAAAGGAATTGAAAATACTGCTTTTGTCAGATATCCATCTTTGTGATAAACCAGTGACAAGTGGAAGAAGCATTAAAGATTTCCTTTGCTCTAGGGGACATTGTGTTCCGCTGCTGTTCTGCTGGGCCCTACTTGCTTGTTTTTTAAGCACAGAAACTTAAATGCAACTTGTTCATCTTTAGAATTTTCCTGACAGTTCAAGATTTCAAACGCAGGTATGGCCCTATATCACATCTGGCCCCTAAAGGCCACCTTTGAGCTTGTGATGCAGACCAAAACGAACTGAACTAGGACCAGGGGAGGCATTTCACACAGGCAGCATTTTCTCTTCTGCTAATAAAGAATTATGGTCTGTACCATTACTCTAATTTTTACCCATTTGTGGAAAACATTTAATTTCATGTTTTCTGCATTAGGGAATTTTTTTTAATTATTATTATTATTCTGGATACCATTTGCAAATAAATATTTAACATGCAGCCTTTGTTATTTGTTTTCAGGATGCTGCCTTTAATATAGGATACAAACATTTTAAATGTTTGCAAAATGCGAAAATTATGATCAAACTCTTAAGGATTCTAAGCAGAACATTTAAATGGGTCTTTTAAAGGAAATCTTTGAAATCTGGAAATTTTGTAGCTAGTGTTTTGCTTTTGTCTTTATCTCTCTGAAACAGGTTGCATTAAAGTAAAAGTTTGCTGCTGTAAATAGAGCTTGTTAATATGAAACTCACTGGAGTCGTCCGCATCCAGGAGTGCTATGGAGCAATTTTCAACATGGAAGAGAAATTGTTACCTGTGTCTGGTAACAGAAGACAGTATTTCACTGACAGAAAACTTACCCTGAGTGGGGTAGCAACACGCTGGCACCAAACCACTAACTCCAAAGCGAGTGGCGATGCTGGAGCACTGCATGAAAAAAGAATGAGAGCAGTGGTGACTGGAGGTGGAGGCTATTTTGGCTACAAGCTGGGATGTGCTCTTGCCAAGGCTGGAGCTTCTGTTGTTCTCTATGACATACACAAGCCTATCTGGGAAGTTCCCAATGGAGTAGTGTGTATCCAGGTATGATAAATTATATTTTCACAACAGTTGAAGTTAGTTCATTTGCCTTTTCCATAATGTCTCACTCGTTTTCACAGAATCCAAATACCTAATTGCAAATTATTGCAACTTTCAAGAGCTGTTTGAACTGTGTATATATCCCACATGATTTTTGGTTGACTGATTTTAGTGTATCTGAAATAAAGAAAATGATCACACTTGTAATTCGCCTCACCTCCTGACTCTGGAGTACTCCTCAGGACCCAGTCACTGCCCTCATCTGTGCCTTAGTTTAATCGCCTGTAAAATGTATATGGGAGTATTGAGGCTTAACAAATGTTTTTAAAGTCCTTTGAGTTCTACTGAAGAAAAGTATGATTATCAGCAAGTACTGAAATGGGTCTAGTTTTCAGTCCCAGTATGTAAAGTAAGTACATTTATGCAGATGCATTCTCTCTGTGCTAACCCACTATATGACAAATGCTAACCTGCAGCTTTGATTTCAAGTCCAAATATCTTGTCTTATGTATTACAGGCAGATGTCAGGGACTATGATGCCATATTTGCAGCCTGTGAAGGGGCCGACTGTGTGTTTCATGTAGCTTCATATGGAATGTCAGGAAGAGAGCAGGTGAGTCAAAATAGTTTTGCTTTTTTCTGCGTGACTGCCCACTCTGAGGATGAGAGACTTGATGCTGTAAGCATGTTACATTCTATCTCTTCAAATTATCCTGAGAGCCTGAATCCACTCCATGCTGTTTTGATAAATGGCTCTGTCCAGACTGGTGTGCGAGCTGCACGCAGTCCGCTCACACTACTGGTTTCCTAGTTGTGAAATTATTTCCCCCCCCATTTGACACCCCGCCAGCACCCTGGGCGGGCTTCTGAGTTGGAAACAGCCTTGAAGAGTTCTGAAATAGCATGAGGACAAAAGGAAAGACAAGGGAGATTGATACCCTCCAAAATCGTGATCCTTCCCAAAAGCTTTCACGTGGAACACTGAGGTGTAAGGTCACTGGGAGGAATAAAACCTGAACTAAATTATAAATTATTTTATATAACTAAATTATAACAATGGCTGTATTTCGAGTCTTAATTGTTTGCTATTGGGTAAGAAGCTGTAAGGATGTACCGATGTAGGACTCTGAGCCATAATTTTTATAATTAAAATTACAAATACACAGAGACCCCTTCTTACTGTATTTAATAAAAGGAACTTCAGTAATTATCTTAGCTGGATAGAATAGCCCATTCAAAGATGTTTGCAATCCAGCAAATGCTACAGAAACATGGATATTTAACATACTGCTGCAAGATGTATAATCACTGGAAATGTGTATTCAGAAGCACTGCGATTCTCTGCTTCAAGCAGGCTAGTCTGTAAATACCAGAAAAATACAGGTGTATTTTATTAAAAATAAAATAATTAATAATTTTTTTAAAATATTAAAATTTAATAAATTATTTTTTAAAATAATTATTTGACTTCTTGAAGTCTGATACAGCAGCCTAAATTATCTTTTATATAATCAAAGCACTAAACCCACATTTATACACATTTATAACATGCCCCTATTGAATTAAAAAGGTATTATTTCAAAATGCACAAATTCATTATTTTTTTCTTTATTTTCCTAGTTGCACAGAGAAGAGATTGAAACCATAAACATTAATGGAACAAGATTCGTCATTGATGGTATGTATCTAACCTTGCTATTGGGTGTTAGTATAGCACATCAAAATATTATACCACTTAGAAAAAGCCATTTGGCTTTTATGGCACATGCTATTTTTTACTGAATACTTTATATTTTTGGCAGAAGATGAGGAAACACGTCAATGGGGTTTTGATGCTCAGTTCTGTTACGGGGTGTGATATGAGAGCCAGCACTGTCGATCAGCTACTTCAGCTTTACCTAGTCAGTTTTGACCTGATGTCAGAATACGTACTGATGTCAGGAGTTAACTATTTCCATGTGTATTTTGTAGCAGCAAACCTCTTTGCTCCCCAATGGCTGGTGCAGGGGTACTGGCAGCCCTTGGAGCAGAGGGGCTCCAGCCACCCGGCAGCCGGGCAGCTGCCTCCCACAGGCACAGTGCGAGCTTACGGCGCCCAGAGGAGCATCTGCTGGGTCATACAGCACTTGGTTCTACACTGTTGTCTTCCTTTAAAATATGCTTTACATTTTAAATCACCCAATCACCAAATAGAAGGATTTGCTCTCTTAAGATTTGACAGTTTCTCAGAAAAAGCTCACAGAAACCTTTTTCCTGTATTGTTCCAGTTTCCACTAAAGTTATTTCCTTCTTACACTGCTGCAGCCTGCAAACAAAGGAACATTGCTAGATTGATATACACCAGTACAGTAAATGTGGTGTTTGGAGGGCTTCCTATTGAAGATGGTGATGAGGAAACTGTGCCATATTTTCCTATAGAAAAGGTACTTGTATTATATTTCTATGTTGTATTATATTTCTATGTTTCCTCTTTGCTTACTTTCTTGTTTCTGAAAAAGCCTGGAGTTCTCAAGACCATGTTTTGCCTGATACCAGAATCCAGTGCCAAGAAAGAAAACTGTTTACGCTCTTTGTAGAAGCTATTCACAACTTGTTGCTGGGTATTTTTTTTTGTTTCCTGTCAAGGCCTTGATTTTGGAAAATAACTCATAGTGTCCCATTAAAATTAATGAAATTCCACCTGGACATCAGGATTGTGTTCTATGGCTCGGTGCCTCTTTAGCCATTAATTATTTATATGATTTTTCTGTTTCTCCCTTATTGAAGATGACATACAGTCAGCATAAAGCTGATTTGGAAAAGCAGCCCATTTTTAGATGGTTTTATTGCACTTAACACGGAGAAAGTACTTCTGCTTGCTTTGCATACACAGTTGGTTTTTGTGTCCCTCCTCTGTCCATTAAGTACTTTCAAGAAGTAGAGATGAATAGAGAAAATATTGAATAATATTTTGAATAATATATCAAATAATATTTTCTCTGTGACAGTGCCACAAGAAACTGAACAGGATAATTCAGAGCAGTCATCTTCAAAATGTGGCTTTTGACTTTCCGTTACCCGAAAAAGAAATCCAGATTACAAAGTAGTGATCAGTTACATTCTTGGCAGGATTCAAACATACATATATTTATTGCTTCTCAAATGTGCTGAAATTAATTAACTGGATTTGCAGAAACAAAAATGCTTGCTTACCTTAGCAATATGCATGTGTTTTATCCTAAACTAGTATCACACGGCTTCTGTATTTCGAGGTATTTGTTGCCATCTGCTAAGTAAAAACTAGTGGAGAAGAGATACCCCTCAGCCCTGTCATTTCAAGACTAGATAAAAACATATTTGCTTTTTCTCTGTAGCATGTTGATCATTATTCCAGAACCAAATCAATTGCAGAACAAATGGTACTAGCAGCTAATGGAACTCCACTAGCAGGTACTTTTGTCTTAGCATGAATTCATAGTGGAATTTACTACTCCTCTTCTTGCTCTCACTAATGTCCTGTATCAGTCCTTAGTGGACAAGATTGTCCAGCAATTATGAAACTGAGTTATCTATCCCCTCTCACAAATGAAAAGATTTTCAGTTAAAAATCACTTTTAATTGTTCTTAGTTCCCATAGTGTCCCTAAAAGGTTTTACCATGGTAGCAGAGTTTGGTATGTTAATTGGAATGATTAAGACAGCTATAAATTAAACAAAACCAAGTTTTCCTCTCACTGTATTATGCAACATAAGTAAAACATGAATGGTGATTTAAATTGTTACCCCTTCTCCCCCCCTAATATATTAAGATCTGAAGAAGCCACCTGACACTACAGCCTGGAATTATTTATTAGTGTTTCCCGAAGTTTTCCACGTTGAGGAAGCCAGCTATACGCTTGAATACTTAAGCTCACCTGTGAGATACTATAACTGCCAGTGCAAAAACAAATGAATGTAAAGTGCAACATGATTCTATCTGACCAGGTGATACTGGTCACACTGAGCTAAATTTAGCTGTGGACAACTTACAGAAAAGACTCTCTTCACTTGATACTTGCAGAGGGCTATAAAGCAATATAAAGTCACTCATGGGCATTTCATCCCAATAGAATTATTTTGTTTTAAAAATAAGGTGGTTTTCCCTTATTTCCTCTTTTCTCAGCAGCTCTTCACATCTGCTGTGATCAGCAGAAGTAGGGAGGTGATTGTGCCCCTGTACTCAGCACTGGTGAGGCCACACCTCAAGTATTGCGTCCAGTTCTGGGCACCTCAATATAAGAGAGATATCAAGGTGCTGGAGCGAGTACAGAGGAGGGCAACGAAGCTGGTGAAGGGCCTGGAGCATCAATCTTATGAAGAGCGGTTGAAAGAGCTGGGACTGTTTAGTTTGAGGAAGAGGAGACTGAGGGGAAACCTCATCACTCTCTACAACTACTTGAAAGGACACTGTAGAGAGGTTGGTGCTGGTCTCTTCTCACAGGCAATTAGTGACAGAACGAGAGGGAATGGCTTCGAGCTCCAACAGGGTAGGTTTAGACTGAACATTAGGAAAGAATTTTTCACAGAAAGAGTGGTCGGGCACTGGAATAGGCTGCCCAGGGAGGGGGTTGAGTCACCATCCCTGGCTGTGTTTAAGAGTCGTTTAGACGTGGTGTTGGGGGATATGGTGTAGGGGAGAACTTTTTAGGGTTGATGATTGGACTCGATGATCCCAAGGGTCTTTTCCAACCTAAATGATTCCATGATTCTATGATTCTAAAGATGCTCTTAAATTTAGGAGAAATACATAGTTTTGCATTTGTCAATGAAATTAGAACCAGTCAGTGTTCCAAATGTCCCATTTTAATCCTGTGCCATAGCAAGATTGAGTATTTTGCATGCTTTCAAGTACTATTAGGAACAGTTACCAGCAGGTGATAAACCAGCCAACTGATGTACTTGGGAAATGATTGGATTTTTATGATAGTCCTCACGTTCTCCCGCTGAAGTTTTCAAGGGCTTCTGCAGCAGTTCTAGTGGGAGCTGGCTGTGCCTACTGTTAAGAACTTTCAGTTCTAACTTGTACTGCTAATGAGTCACTGGTTCCCATCAATAACTTTGTATGAGATTAGTTGATTTCGTTCCACTTTCTTACCAGTAACTCACTCACTTCAGTAAACTCATCACCATAGTTGGCACATTCATTTACTGCTTTGGCACAGAGACAAAGGGCTAGTTAGAAAGAGGTTTTGAAATATCTAGTAATTGCTACGAATTTAACCATGCTGGCAGGACTTCTCCAAATCTTACCTTGCTACTTTGCATGTTCTGATTCTACCAACTTAGTATCCAACTACTAATTCAACACTTTCTGGTATGTATTAATTTGTAAAATTTATTTCAAAGTTCTTCTACCACAGTCTTTGTTTCATACAAACAAAGACATAATGTAGTCTTGTGAAAGTCACTTAAGAATGGTCTCATCAATTCTTCTAGGAGGTGGGATACTCTATACGTGTGTTCTCCGCCCGCCAGGAATCTATGGACCAGAAGAGCAAAGGCACTTGCCAAGGCTGGCAGTATGTATTTTAATTTTTTAATCGGCAGAATTGTCTATGATATACGACAGCATCATTTACTTGTGTTATAAATTGACTGACCTTCTCATTGGGCAGCAATTCCACAATTCAATTACCTGTTGAGGATATTATAACTTTTGTTAAAATGTAGTATATTATACATTTTTAAAGTCTTTTTTTTTTAAATACAAACACATGTAAGTCCAGCTTTATAATTTAATGCTTACTGTAATGATAAGATTGAGATATTTCAAATGTCTGTTTAGATGCAAGTTAAACCAAATGGTTTAAAATATTAATGAAAAGAGATACAGCAAAATATCTTATCTCCAGTCTCAACTATTAACAGCTTTCACTACCCAGTTAAACAAGCTCAGGAATCAGAAGCACCTTCTGGTACAATAGGTTACTGAAGGGCAAAGAGCCAAGGTGCTTATGTTTTACTCTTTTTCACTTGCTGTCTTTTATCGTAGGACTAGTACAGTGTTTAGAATATGATCCATGTAGAATTATATGAGTCAGTTATTTTAAAAGCATCAGTACAATATAAAGTTATGTACAGCACTGAGGAAGGAATAGATTAAAGCTTATCACATAATAAATATTTTTGGTTTGTGGCTGTGGTAGGAAATTATATGCAAGTCAGCCAAAATGCACTTTATCATCTTCTAAATAAAATAATTTTTAAGAATGGCAAATGTTAGTTAAACTGGAGATGTTGTCTTTAGCAACAAAAAAATGCCATCTTTTAAAATTTCCATTTAAGACTTTAAGCTTATTTATTATGCCCATGATGCAACTCTCAAATTTTGCAGTTTCTAGAATTTACCTGTTAAATGAAAAATATGACACCTATGATTACATTCAATTTTTCCCAGCTGAAGATATTTGTTAAAATTGATCCAGTTTTGTGAATACTTTTGATCCATTCAGAACTGTATCTTGCATCATACAATGTTTTAAAATCATAGCAATCATACAGTATCCTTAGAAGAGACTTGTATTTTTTGTAAATTCAGGATGTATTGTGTTCAATGCATTCTTAAGTCCTTCCTCAGGAGTAGTATTTTTAGAGCTTTCTGATTTCTCTTGATTGTTTTTAATGGATTTTTTTGGGTTTTGGTTAAAAAATGGTAATTTTTTAAAGTAGAGACAAACCCACATTTAACTGGACAAGAAAGTGCACTGTGCCTTATTTTTGAACCTATTTTGCTTTGGTTTCATGTTTGTTATGTCTACAGAAGAATATTGAGAGAGGTCTACTTAGCTTCAAGTTTGGGGATCCTTATGCTACAATGAACTGGGTGCACGCAGAAAATCTTGTACAAGCTCAAATTCTAGCTGCTGATGCTCTCACCCCTAAAAAGAACTACATCGCTGTAAGTAAACAATAAAAGCACCAGTTTTCATCTGACAGTGGATCCTGCCACTGTCCTGTTCTCTAGTAACTACTGCAGTAGCAATAATTAGTGCATGGGTTATGTTGCAGTCTCTGGTTTTAGTTAACAAATGTGGTATGAACAGTGTGGGACCCGGCAGCATCGGCTGTGCAGTGTATTCAGAGTTGGAATATTCTGTTCTGCAAGAATATCTCCATCTTTGCATTTTTGTAATACAACATTTGCCATTTCTGGAACATGAGGAAAGAATGTTTGCAGGTAGATTTATCTCCTGTTCCCCTGTATATAGATCCAGACTTAATGTTCTGAACTGTGATCATCAGTTCTTCCCATACCATATGCAAATGAAAGCACATTTTATTTGGGTTCATTGATTTCAAAAATAGTTGCAATCTTTTTCCTTCCTGTAAAAACAGTTTAGTATTTGACCTAGAAGCAGTACCCTTAAAGCAAATTAGAAAGATTTTCAAAGTAGATTAACCTACTTTTTCTAAAACCCTAAAAGCAAAAGGGAAAGAGGTAACTTGGGCCTTGGTTAGGCAGAGGGAGTCTTACGGATTTCAATGACCCTCAGCTGGATCAAGAGCCGAACATGTCCCACCACTGGTGACTGTGTCAACAGCACAAGTGAAATACGGGACTGCTTTAAGTGCTTTTGGTAACCTCTGTCAATATAGCCATTCTGTATAGGCACATCTGTAAGAAATGTACCAAGGCATGTTAATCACATAAACCACTTGTCCAACCATTTCAGTGCACACATTAGTGCAACTGATTCAGACGCACGTAGAGTTTGTTGGCTTGTAAGTACATCCATGCTTATTTTATATTGCAGTATTATTTGTAAGATATTTATAACGAGTCAGGTAAAGAAGTCAACACATATATGCAGTATTATTTTTACTGATTTCTCTCTTCTCTACCTCTTTAACAGAGTGGCCAGGTGTATTTCATTAATGATGGTGAAAAATTCAACCTTTTTGAATGGTTAACTCCACTTGTATGTACAATATCTACTTTATCTCCTAATACATTCATTTCTTTGACTGTATACAACTCCAGCTCTTGTGCGCATGTTACATTTGGTATGTTTGCTTAGGGTGTAGGAGTTCCATTCTGAATGTAGGTTTAATTCCAGCTCGAAGTTCTGTAATTAGTGGTGAAACAAAGGCTATCTAAAATAATGCATTAAAGCAACTGTCTTCATTGAGACCAAAGAACCATCTAAACCAATATGCTCTTTTGAGTTGCTGTTATCTTCATTTCTTGGGCATACATTTTGGGTGGACAAAAAAATATAAATCCTTATTAATCTGTAATATAAATACTTTTCAAAAGATCATTTTATTGTTAACAATGGGCTCAAACTGTATATCAGCACACTGTTACATTTTGATTATTATACACTTTTTTTTTCCTTTTTTTGAGACTGCCACTTGAAAATTACGTACTGTCTGCATGTGACTAACTGGAATCCCCTGAAAAATTAAAACTCAAATAGTAACAGCAATGGTGTTTTTTTCTGTTTTATCCGTAAATACTTCCACAAATATCTTCTGTATCCAAACTTTAAAACTTGTTTGAGGTTTCTGTTGTTTTCACTGCTTTTTAAATGTCTTTCAGTTTGAAAGATTAGGTTGCAGTAAACCACGGATACGTATTCCTACTTCCTTAGTTTATGCATCAGGTAAAAATATTTCATCAACATTTCTCTTTCCTGTCCACACTACCCTCATTCCTAAGTGTAATATAAGATGTTGTTTTTTTTTAATTTGCCCACAATTTTCAGTTTCATGTATAAAAATAATATGCTGTGGGCTCATCTAGTGTGCAGCAGTTCAGGGTGAAGTTCAGCTCTATGCAGTGTGTTGAAACCAGAATGATCTGTTATGTAAGTCCCACAAAAACAGATTTTATGTAGGACTTAACAGATATATAACTTTGTGGAGTTAATCCATGACTTCATGAAATACACTGAAGAGTACCTGCTTTGCTGCATGGATGGATTTCTTGTTCTCCTGTATCCCATGCTCACTCCAGAATCAAGCCCACGCACAGCTACGAGAGAATCCAACTTTGAGTATTTTGTTGTTACCACATTTTTTATGAAATCTCACAATCTTTTCACTAGAACTGTCACCAACCCCTTTTCACACAAGGACCCTAATTCAGACTGACTGAATTATTAAGACTAAATCCACTCCCTTGTGAGCAAGCAGCCCTGTTGATGTTAGTGATGGTGCCCTGAGCTCTCAGTGCGAGATATGCCAAAATCATAATGGTATTGGAATTTACTGTTCTTACTTCAAGTAGAAATCTTTTGTTATGCAGCCATGATAATGGAATACCTTCATCTGATGCTGAAACCATTTGTTGAACTGTCTCCACTGCTGACCAGAAATGAGGTAAAGTCTTTGTTTGTAAACTCCCCTTAATTCTCATAGGATGCATACATTCATACAGGTTAATACCAAGGTACAATTTAAGATTAAGTCAGTAGAAAGTAAAATCCACCCAGTACTACTTTATGCTCATTACCATAATCTTTTAAAAGGTAAGAGCTTATGCTTGCAATCTGGGAGAGGCTGCTTCAGCTCTTTCTTTCCAAGGCCCTGTCTGGCTTTGGCTGATCACTTGGGCCCCCATTTCTGAAGGTACTTAGGCACCTAAGAGAGGGCTTTTATCTGCCTTCTTAGGTACATAAACAAGAGTGCAGAACAATTTTTATGGATGTTCTCAAGACTAGAAGATTCTGCTTTGCAGCTTTTACTGCCTCTTCAGGCTTTCAAGATTCTCCTTTTGAATGAACAGTTTTAAAGATAATGTGACGTGCCAATAGGATATTAATATAATGTTGTGGTTGTTGGGTTTTTAAATTTTATTTTACATTTCCTTTAACAGACATATTTCCTATGTATTTCTGTCTTTGTATGTTGACTTTCTGGTCTTAGGTACAGAACATTTCTATAACCCATACATTCCGAATAGACAAGGCACGGAGTCAGCTAGGATACAGCCCAGAGAAGTTTACATTTGCTGATTCCGTGGACCATTACATTAAAACGAGACCAGAAGCCCAGAATCATCACATCTTCCTCAAAGTTCTGCTTACTTTAATTGTTAGTGTAAGCTTGATCATTCTCTCTTTAAAATGTGATGGTCTTTCAGTTTTGCATTTTTTTAAAGAAACACAGCACTGACTTGCATAAACTGCACGTTCTCACAGTACTGCTACCTGGATCATTCTAATCTCAACAGTTACTGGCTCCAGTGCAATAGGCAGTTTTTATTAGACTTAAAAACAAAATTGTAACAGATCATCAGCTGTACTTGTGAAATTAAAATTACAGCCAAGTCGCTGAAACACTGGAATCAAAATTATTGCATGTTTATTTCACACCAAAAACCAACTTTCTGAATTGATTGCTGAAGTAAATGAGAACCTGCAGAAAGAGCTACAGCCAGCCTGGAGTGCTTCATCAGTGAAGAAAAATGGCTAAAATAAGGAAAAAGATTGACTACAGCTGCTGCCATGGCTCACTGCCTTGGGGAACAGAGGAACAAGAAAAGGGATGGACAGAACAAATTACTGTAAATAACACATACCAGCCGTAGAGAGGGAGTTCACTGTGAATTCTTTTGTGAATTACCTGTATCACTTCATATGAGGGAAAATAAATATGTACTTGAGACTTTGCTGAAATCAGTCCTGTGCCTCTGCAAACTGTTGTGGAACCGCTCCCCACCCTACTCCAGGGGTGCAGAGCCGTCTGTGACAGCACCTCTCAGGCCTAGGAGATGCATGCAGGTATGGCTTTTCATGAGTTCAAAACTCTGTATTTTAGTTAAATTGGAAGTTATTTACTAAGTTATATTATTTAAGTGCATTTATGTCATAGTAGAGGAACCAGCCGCTATGGGTTGCACTAACCTTTGCACTGCTTCTTTTAGCTCCTGTAGATACTGAGATCAACAACTAACACATTTTAGTTGCTTATCAGCTGAACTTTAGGTACAACTGTGTTTTTTCACCTAAAGTATAGCAGTTGTACTGAGCAAATCCCTGCAACAGCTAATGAACAATGTGCTTTTTTAATTACTGTTCAGCTAAAATGGGCCTGAAAAGCTGGGGGTCTGGAAGTCCCCACGCCCTCCCATCTGCCACTCAGGCTGGTGAGTTATCACAGCAATCTTCCTCCTCATTGCACCTTTTCCAGCCTGTAACATGGGGAGAGAACAATCGGGAGCAGGATGCAAACAGAAAGAGCGAAGTTTGGGAAAGGGGACAGGACTAGGGATGAGGCAGGACAGCTACAGGAATCACGGGCGGGGGCGGGGGGCGGTGGGGCGGTTATCACGGATGGATTTGAGAAATCGGGAGAAGGCGAGAGCACTCAGACGATGCCTCAGTCCAGACCAGGCAGGAAAAGCCAGGTGCAGGGCCTGAGGGTTGAGAGTGGTGAAACCCAACCACAGAACAGCCAAAATTAGTATTTCTGATTTTAAGCCAAAAGACATGCGAGGAAGAGAAGGCTATACCCTCAGCACATACCACAACTTTCTGAAATTCGATTTTGCTGACCGTGACTGGCCACATCCCCGCCTCCCCCCGAGCAGGACGCGGGGCGCTGGGCCCGCCCACGTTCGCCGCGACGGTGTTTGTGGTGGTCGGGCGGCGAAAAGGAGCTGCCGCAGCGACAAAACAATCTGGCAGCGGTGGGATTCGAACCCACGCCATCGAAATGACTGGAGCCTAAATCCAGCGCCTTAGACCACTCGGCCACGCTACCGTCTGTGCACTATAGCCCCCGCCAGGCCTCTTTCACAGGGGCGGCGCCGTGGCTCTCCCCACCCATTTCCCTACGGGGCCCAGCCGTCTCTGCGTTGCCACAGCACCCGCCCCCCGGGGAAAGAGGCCGGCTGCAGCGGGCGCGGCCGCCTCGTTCGCCGCCGAGAGGCCTCTACGAACGGGGGTGCTGGCGGCGCCTGTACCCCGCACCAGGCCCCGCAGGCTCCCCGGGCCCCGGCCAGCCCCACGGGCTCCCTCCTCTCCCGGGGCCCGGCCGTCGAGGCACTGTGTCGGCGGCAGACACGGGCCGGCTTCTTAGCAAGGCGCTGCCCGAGGGCCTGTTCGCCGCAGCGGCGGCGGCGGCAGCAGAGTGCCAGCTTGTCCTCAGGAGGGCGCGGACCTGCCACTCCGGGGATGGCCCTGCCCCGCCGTGGCCGCGCGGGACGGGCAGCCCTTCGCTGGGGCCTTGGCAGCTGCAAGAGCCCCCAGCTCCTTGCCAGAAAGAGAGCCCGGCCAGCTCCCGCCCTACAAGCAGGATCCCCTGCCAGCTGCCCCCAGCTCCTAGCGGGGAGCCAGCCGCCTCTCGGCCCGCTCCGGGGCTGCGGGGCCAGTGACCTTCCCAGCCAGCTGCCGGCTCAGCCCCACGCTGTGTCCTCAGCTGCACCATTCCCACCGAACTGGGAGGCCCCCGGCACAAGTTACTCTTGTGACTTTCTCAGTTATGCTCATTTATCACACCGGTAATGGCATTCCACCACTATCAGTAGCCTATAATAGCAGATGATAATTTTTTTAAGCATTATCAGCACGCTTTCATGCAGTGGGAACCGGGCATCTGGCTTCCACCAGGCCTTCAGACTCAGTTTGAGGAGTCTGCCCTGTTCCCAGGCCTGAGGGCAGCCCTGCGGGTGCAGCTGTCCCCCCGGGCACTGGTGGGGGGGGCTGCCCCAGAACCACAAATGGGAAGGTTGCGCTCTGGTGCTGATGGGGCAAAAGCACTGTTTTCCATGGCTGTTAATACTTACAACAGTGACTTGCAGCTGGGAGATGAGTAGGACCTCAGAGGTTTTCTGCACAATCTTCAAACGTTGTACATGTTTTGAATGTGAGCTTAAACTCTGCAGGAATTTGAGGCTACCCAGAAACATGCCTGTAAGAAGCAGCACGAAACGGCAGCTCGGTCTAGCCTCCACTTTAGGTTCTCGAGGTCCTCAGCACAGCACTGGAAACCACTGCCGAAACTACAGGAACCCTCAAATGGCAGGCAGTGTCCTTGCTGCTGCCTCCAGTCCCCAAGCTAAAGCTACTGTTTAATTTATGTAGGTGGTGGGGGTGGTAGGTGGGTGTTCCTGACAGAGTCAGTGTGTGCTTAATTAAATAATAGTAATCGTCTTCCTGAAGATTACCTCAGCACTAGCCCTGCAGCAGCATTTCTCTCAGTGTGCCTTCCCTCTTTGAAGAGTATTTTGTGCCTGTAATGCCACAAGAGACCATCCTTCTGTCACAAAGGACTTACTCACATATATTCCTTCTCAGTTTTGTAACCCTTGTTTATGGTAAAAAGCACTAACGAGGATTATTTACATGAATTCAAGATGAAACGACAGTGAAAGCGGCAGACTCTTTGCATACCTCCTCTCCCTCCGTCCCCCGTCTCTAATACTTAACGATGCTAATGGAAGGTAGTTCTCCTCAAATTTTCAACGTTTTTCTCACAGGAATTAAGTCTCCGGGAGGCTCGAGGCGGGCAGCGGAACGTCCCCTCAGGCGAGCGCCAGGCACCGCCCCTCCGCGCGCTGGGCGGGAAGCCGTCGCCCGCCTGCGAGGCGAGGGGCGGGGCCGCTGCCTGTCTCCCCTCAGCACGGCGGCTGCGCGCCCGCCTGACCCGGGGCGGCGGCGGGGCTGCACCCACCCGGTAGGTGCCTTTGGCGGTGCGGGGGCCGGCGAGGGCAGAGGGCGGAAAGGGGGGTTTTAATTTGAGATAAATGGTGACCAACCGTGTAAAAGGCCGGCGGCCAAGGCGTGAGTTTCTGCGGTGACCTAAAGTTGATAACGTGATATTTTTGAGTTGGGCAGCACTCCTGTACTTGCGCCTGGAGATAATAGTTTAATCCACATGTGTTTGCAGGCCAGTGCAATTAATTGTAGGGCACGCCCAGCGCGGAAGCGCCGCAGTCCCGTCTCCCGCTGTGGAGGCGCCCCGGAGGAGACCGGGGAGGGGCGGGGGCGCCGGGCGGCGCAGGGCCGCGGAGCGCACCGGGCGGCCCTGGGCGGCTTTTAGCACTGGTTGTATTCGGGTAACTTTTCAAATGCCTCGATATGCATAAAGCGTGGGGTTGATTAACGACATGTAGTACTGACCAAATGTTTACAAAAAGCCGGTGATGGTTAACTGCTAAGTGTATTTAAAGCCAGTTGAAATAACAGGGCTATTAATGGCAATGCAGGAACGTTTTAAAGTTACCTTAAAAGTTTCTTTTCTGTCCTTTAATACCACTGTATTTTGGCTACCGCTAACGTAGTATTCGTTTGCGTGTCTGGCAGAAGGGTGAACTTGACTCAGAAGGGTTGTCCCTGTGCTTTACTGCTTGTAGCTCTAAAAGCCGTTTGTGTGTTTGAAGCTGCAGTGTGTTTCCTTGCACAGGGGTTTGATTCTCAAATGCTTCGTTCTCTGAGCTGGCACAGATGGACTTTCCTGTTCCCTTCATACACTTTGCGTCGTTGCTCTCTAACTCTCCCTGGCCAATGCGATGCTGTGCTTGCAGATAGACTGGATGTGATTTGTTCCACGGTGTTTGCGGTAGTGATGCATTGGAAGGAACCTGAAGTAAAGTCTTCTCATGAGAAGATCTGTACTTGGTAAGACCAGGTTTGTCAAAGGTAGCCAGTGAGTTGAGACATTTCTGGGTTTTTTAATCTTGTTTTTTATCAGAGTTGTTACCTCGACTCGCTAAACTTGTTTTCTTGCCAGCGCATGGTGCAGATGAGGATAGACGTTTGCTTCACAAGGGTTGTTTGGGTGTTTGGAAAGTAATTCTGTTCTGTTCTGTTAAGCAGCAATTCTGTAACATGCTGCAGGACATTAACACAGCAGTGGGGTTTTCTGGACCATGTTATGTAGCTTTGTGTCTGTATTTCATACAGATGACAACGATATGTTGTAAGGTGCACAGCCTGTATAGTTGCTTAGGTTAAATTTCAAATCTGTATTTTAAAAAAATGTTAATCTGAAAAAAAGTGATTTTTCTCTTAAAAGAAAAAACTGCTTGTTACTGTTGCAGGTATCCTGCTAGATGGCTTTAGCTGATGTGGTAGTAAACCAAAGGGATTTAATATAATACCAGGGAGAGGGAGGTTGTTCTTGCTTTAATGCTTCTCTACCAGAGACGGTGGGACTTCTTCTGTTCTAGGGTGGTTCCTGTTCACTGTCCTGTGCTAAAGTGGGGCAGAGGGCTCTGTCTGAGCTGAAACAGCCACTAAGAAGTAGCTGGAGATGCTCCAGTTGTCCCTTCTTTGGCTGACTAGAGTAGAATATTCCTGTCCCTCAGCTCTTTGGGATGAATTAAGGCAGGTTTCAATGCTGAGGCAGCTGTGGGGTCTTGTTCAAGGGTTGTGCCAAACCAGGAGGGTTTTGAAACAACAGACACCCTATAGGAAACGAGTTGTCTTTTACCAGCACTGTGATGTGAATTTTCCCCTCTGTTTATCTGTGTTTGCATGTGCACTGCGCTCAGCAATACAGTGAATTGTCCTTGCAACTCACCTGCCCCTCCTGGTGGTATCGCTCTTGGATATAAAGGCAAGAGAAAATAAATACTTCAGACATGCATTGGAAAAGCCAAAAAAATAATAGAGAATTAAATGGATTTAATAACTGACTGTATTTTAGATTTTAATCTTGAATCGCGTAGTACAAGACAAGAATAAATTTCGAAGGTAGATTGGAGCGAGTAATTTAAATTACAGGTTGTATGTGATAATGCAGGCTTGCAGGCTAGATTTAGTGCAGTCTGACTCTTTGCTGCTTAGCCGTGGGAAAGCTTCTGTAACGCGTATTAAAGACTATATGATCAAAACATAGCAGCAATGCTAACAGGGATTCCTAGATAGTACGACTTTATGCCATAATGCAAAAGTACAGAATAGAAGTCTTGGGATGAAGCTCAGGCTTTTTTATAGTGCTTTTGGTCAAATGAACTATGAGGTTTAGAACAGTGTTTGTGTGTAGGTTAAAGTTTGGGTATTAAATTCTGTTTTAAAGAGGGTGTTATGTGAGAACTTGTTTTGGTAAATACACTTCCAAAGTAAACACCACAAGTCCTTCACAAGAAGTATGGTTCCAAGTAAAACTGAGAGAGTTTTATAAACACCATTAGCTTTAAATAGAAACTGATTTGTGTGATAATGTTCCATTTACAGAGTCACAGAACTGTTTGCAATCACTGCATAAACCTGCATTCCTTGCTCCTGTTTCTCAGACAGGCTCAGACCTGGTGGATGTGCTGACGTGTGTGACTGCAGTAGTAGAAATGAGCGCAGGACAGCACCTGTGGGTGATGAGGCTAGTCCATGTCCTGGAGTTTGTTGCCCACTTGAAGCATCATTTTACATCTGTTGTTTGTGTGTGCTGACAAGCGTAGAGGTTAAAGTTCTCAAATACTTGTTAGACTCTAGTAAAATGATCACAACAAAAACGATAGTGGCAACTGAGGATACCTTCCCCTTCCAGTTCCGCGGTACTGCCTTTTCCAGAAATGACAGCTCTCACGTGGTCTTTGCTAGATGAGCAGATTATATAGGACTGTAGAATCATTTAGGTTAGATAGGACCCAGGAGAAGCCAAACCCTACCTATTCTATGCTCTTGGGATCCAGGAAGCTACTAAAAAGTTGAAATAACCAGTGACAAAATCAAGCTTTTTTGCCTCTTTGCAAAAGAGCTATTAACCAGGGAGAATACTTTTTCTCTCTATGCTTAAAGCAAACGCAGCTTGGAGGCTTGATGCTGTTTAGCAGAATGCCGTATTTGCTGTCTTTGGAGTTGGAAGAGGATAGACTGATCCAAATTGAATTCTCTTCACAGCGTAAAAGACAGAACAGCTGAGTATACCCCTCACGCATACCTCCTCTTGTCTCTCTGATCTGCTAGTGAGTACACTTGGGCAGCAGCAGTGGAATGGTGGCCTGCTTTCTTGGCCTCTTTTGTACTTTGTCTTTCTGAGGATGTCCTGGTAGCCTGAGCAACCAGCTTGGCACTGTGGACCGTTAGCAGTATGTGAGCCAAAAGCCAATTTAAATTTTGGCAGTGGTGGGACAATTTTCTACATTGTCCCAATACTCCCTAACTCCTTTGGCTATTTATTTGCAATATCCTGGAGAAGGCTTGTCCTGAAAAAATTTTAAAACCTGATTGTGGTGCTTGAGCTAAAACTCCTTCAGATTTCTAAGGTTGGTGGTGTGAAGCTCGGCACTTCAGAGAAAGAAGAAATTAAAAATATTCAGAGGAGACAGGAGCATTAAGAGATATCAGCCATAGGCAGCAGGTGGTGTTTGCAATCCCTCAGATCTTACAGTATTATTCTATACTTGGTATGTGAGCCAATGCAGGCAGGACGCAGGAACAACCACAAAACCATGGATTAAGGGCAAAGAACAAATTTAATCTCAATACCTCGTGGATCTGGGAACCTCTGAAACAGCATCCGGGCAGAGGCCGGCAAGCAGGGGGACATAGGCACCACGGGGCAAGAGTCCTTATTCGCAAGAGAGTCCTTGTTAGTGAGGGAGCAAGGGAGCTCCCACTTGCTGTTTGGGCCTGTATTTGAAGGATTCTGGCAGGCAGAGTTTTTTGCTGTGCTTTGATCTCTTCAAAGCAGGGCAAGAATCTCAGGCGTGTTTGATAAGGCGCCCCTGAGTCCATCCCAGGACTATGTTATCTAAGTGCAGACGTTCTACTTGTTGAGCACACAAACTAAGCAACAATTGGTGTGATGTGTTTTCCAGCACCCCACATGCGAGTCGCTTGAGCATATTTACAGTCCTCCTCACCAATCTTCTGTTACTTTCCCACACTTGGTTATCTTCTTTTCTCACTCCTGTAGCAATTTAAAAACTGAGTGCCTTCTAGAAGCCAGGATCTAGCACTGAGGTGTTCAAAACCTCAGGTAGGTACTTGGGGATCATTTTCATACAGCCAAATGCAAATTATTTTAATTTTTTCTGTCAGGGTGTTGACAATCAGTTTCATGCAACATTTTTTTTTTTAATAACCCATTCTTTTTTTTTTTCCTTCCATCCAGCTTCTTCCCTCCATTTGCATGTGTGTCAGAAGAGTGGCTGTTTTAATCATTGCAGGAGTTAAACTGACCTCCCACAAACATGGCAGACGAGGATCTTATTTTTCGTATGGAAGGGATTGATAATGTTAGATCAACTACAGCAAACTCTGAAAATTATCTTGATGCTGATAGTGATGATGAAGACAATTATTTTATCTGTCCAATAACTGATGATCCAGTTTCTAACAAGTCTGCCGGTATCAAAGTTGACAATTATTATAGCAACTTAGCAAAAACTGAGCAGTACAGTTCAAGCTCCTCTCCTAGAAACTCATTTAGCTTTAAGGTAAGTATTGGCTCCAGCATATAGTAAGGTTTTGGTTTTATGTAGTTGGCATGAGAGATTCTCTAACTGCTTCATCTCTTTTAACTAACGCTTCAATAAAAAAAAATACATCTGGTTTTCCAGACCTGCAGTTAATTCCATTAAGCCAATAGTCTGACACTGCCATTGAATTGCTTACTGTCCCTTTTAATTTGGGAGATCTTCACCTACACAAGCAGCAGAATCGAGGTGAACAATTCACTGCTGTTATGGTCAAACCATTAAAAAAGCAATACATTGATTGGGAGATTTAAAAGATTATACTTGTAGGCTAAATTGGGGCCTGGCAAAAGATATTTTATTATGGACTTTGCCAAGTGGAGTTAATAATGCATAATATTTTTATCTGGACAAATTAAATTGGAAGTGATTAAATTGTAATGATAGGTTTTCCGGTTATAGTTCCTTCTGGGGGAGCTTTGAACATGTTGACTCTTGCGCTTGGACATGAAGTATCACACTGGCAGTAGTTCTGACCTTTTCAGAATGAAGAGCGATCACAGCATTGCAGAGAGGTCAAGAGGGGCTTTGGCACTTCCTTGGCAGCGTGTCCTGTTCCGCTCCCTTGCACAGATTGGACCAGGCAAAGGGAGACCAACCCACAGGCAGCAGAGCCTTGAGAACATGAGTGACATTCGCTTTGTAGGTTAGATACTCCAAATATGCACCATTTGTGCTAGTCTGGCATGTCTCTTAGATGTTTGTCTAGACTGGGCTTTAAAGTGTTTAATTAACACATTTCTTGTTATAAATATTAACATACTATTTATTTAATAGATACTTTAAAATCTTGGTTATGCCTAATGCATGCTTTATTCTTGAGGAGATACCAGAGGGTTTATTTCAGTCAGCTAACACATTAAAACGCATTAAAAGTGAAGCTATCTTGTCTGCAGTAAGATTTTTTTACCTTTTTTGCATTAAAAGGTACATATTCTTGAGGAAGGTGAGGAGTACACATTTAGTCCAGACAAGAGGACAGATTTTAGTGTATGCTGTGCTAAGCAAGCTAGGATGTGATAGGGAGCTTAGTCTAAATTTGTGTGTACATTTTAGCATGTGCTAAACACTTGCCTCTGAGTTTGCAGTGCGAGTTCTTAGTCATGTGGCCTGAGATAAAACTGATAAGGACTTAAGAAATTGTAATTATTTCCTTCTTCCTAAGCTATCGTGTTGCTTCTGCAGAATATATGCACCTATGCTTTGGGTGTCACAAGGCCTTGTTTGTCGTTTTTAGCTCCTCTCACAGATAAAATGCATTGGGTTGAGACATGAAGCAAGCAAGTCTTCATCAGCTGCTTAAGCTGCAGAAATGGTGAATGCCAACACAGAGAGGAGCCAACAGGCAGGACTGACATCTTAAACCACCACAGCGTGGTCTGGTCGGAGTCTGCCTGTCCCGCTCCAAAGGTGATGGCAGTATGGCCATTGATAATGAAATGCAGAGGCAGGTAGAAGAATTACTATTAACTCTCTGCCTTTAAACAGGACTCAGCAATGGTTAATTAGCTAGTTAATAGGCAAGACTCTTTTAACTCATATTTTTCAATTAAAAAAATTTGACAACTTACCTCAATAGGTTGGTTCACAAGTTCTAAGAATGAAGTTATATTTGGAATATAAATTAAGAGTGGCTTTTAAGTGGAATTTTTTTTTTATTAACAAAGACAACAGAGATACTTTGTCAAACATTTGTCTTATCACATGTATTTTCCTACTTTTATGTTTCTCGTGCATCCTTTAGAATGACGCACAGCATCGTTCTAAGCACAGCTCTGTCGTTGACCATAGTCGGGTAGGTTAAACAGAAAATGTGAACACAGTATCTAATAGATGCATTAAGATTTGTTTGTTTGTTTTCCTTTTATGGCCTTTTTTTGTTCATTGTTTTATTGTCTGGGAGAACTGCTTGCCTCAGCCCATAAAAATCATCAAGTCAAAACTAAAAAGAGGTAGCTGTTGAATGAAATAATAACCATCTTTTGTTCTCTACCCTGAGATATCACTTCTTTTAAAGCATGTATCTGTAGTTGTTTCTTCACAGTATTTCCTACTGTGAACAAGAATAGGATGGATGCAGGATATCTACTTGGCAGACAGACACCTACAGCAGGAGAAAAATTGCACGGTTAGCACCATTTCCTTGAAGTCCACCTTTTGTTTCTTTGAAGATTAGAATACAGCTTTTGTACAAGGCACCTCACAAGATCAAGCACAAGTAATTAATTTATTTAAATCATTACGTAGCATGGACACAGATCACCCTTTTGGAGAGGGACCCTGCTCAAACATGATTTGACATAGGTAATTGGCCGAGCCTTGGCTTGTTTCTGTCTCCCTATTTTTTTTCATATATATTCAAGTACGAAAGTTCCCAGCTCCATACGAAATGTTTATCATTGCATGATCTGAGGCAACTTCATTTTGTTATGAAACATGTAGGAGATCTTTCTCAGCCTGTCTTTTAAACTTGTTTTATTTATTGTAGTATTGTGTTAGTTTCGTGTTTTTATTATCAGAAAGTTGCTTGCAAGGTATGCAGTTTTACAGTTGAAATAAAAGATGAACATGAACAATTTAAAAGGTCGTGTACTTCAAAAACTTGATGTCATTGCTGCATCAGTTTATACTGTTTGTTTGGGTTTTTTTTAATGTTTTGACAGATTTAAATTCCAAAGGAAAAAAAAAAAACCCAAACACAACAATATTGTAAAAGTTACTGTTTCTACATACTTGAAATTCAGTCAGGGAGGCCGCAACAGAGTTTTAGAGCTGAGTAGTTCTTTACTGGCGTGGGTGCAGAGTGGTCTTTCCTTCTGCTCACCTTGGAGAAAGTCTTCGGCATATCAAAGGATCGTATCTCCAGTTCTCTTGGAACAGTACAATGTAAAAAGAGGGGAATCAAAATGTTAGGAGAAAAGCATCCAGATTGGCTGGTAGAGAAAGACTTGTTTATATTCCAGAAAACTCCTTTGATTTTTTTATTCTTGACTTGGTGGAGATTGAAATAGCTACTTGTCTGGAATGGTTGTTATAATCTACTTTTGCAACATTCTAATTTTTTCTTTCTTAATTTGGGGGGCATAATTTGGGGCCTTGGGGTTTATGGAACTTTTTTTCTTCTTCCATATTGCTCTGTCATTAATGGACTTTTTTGTGCTTACACTGTCAACATGTGCTGTTAGTGACAAAAAGTTAAAAATCAAACCAGTAAAAGTCAATGTCATTTAAGTGTGACTTATCACTATTTGCAGCATATATTAGAGGTATTTGCAAATTACAACAGATTTTTGCAAATTTTACTTGGTGTATACTCGACCAGATTCTGTCCTCAGTAATTTTATGACAGTGCAAATTGAACTAAAACATAATGCTTTATGGTTTTGACCTGTGTTTCATTATACTTGAGGCTATAAAAATGTCAGTGTTCTTTACCTCTCAGCCCCTGCTCTGAATAGTGCTTTGGGGGGTTGTGTAGTTACATGTCTTCACAGCATTGGGGTCCTAATGTGCTCTGGAAAATACAGTTGTTGTGAGTCGCTGCTGATTATAAATAATCTGCCAGTTTGTAACTTCTTCAGGAAACCTGGAAACATGCTATTCAGAAAGCAAAGCACATGCCCGATCCGTGGGCAGAATTTCATCTTGAGGATATTGAGATGGAACAAGCCATTCGTTACAGGTGTGTGGATCTTTCTGCTTTTAATGCTGATGTTAAACAGAATATGCTGGTATATGCAAGGGCTGTGTTTTTAGAGGGCAGAATATGTGTAATTACATGGCTGAGGAACTCTCAATAATGCCCAAAGTGAGTGTGTCTTAACTGAATTTCCCAGGGATATGTAAATACTGCTCATCATGAAAAAAAAAACAACCTTTCAGCAAACCAGTGTTACGCTCGTTTCTCTCTTTCCTACGTAGTATCTAGGAGTTTCACCATCTAGAGAGGAAACAAGGTTGAAAAGTATTTTCTGGTTGATTTATTAATGCTGTAAACTTCATAAGGAAATGAAATCCAGTAAAGAGGCAGCGTACTTAGTTGGAATGGTTTAGGAAAAAAAGGCAACATAACACTCTGCCTTTCCCAAAATAGCAGTTTCACTATTGCCTGTTCCATGCAGTATTGCTGCATGTGGCTGGAATTTAAATCCATATAAAGCCCAGAATAGCTCAGCATGGTGTACGTGCTGAAACTGAGTTTAGCCCTTAAACTATTCTTAGAGCTTTAGCATGGCTTTGCCAAAATGTTTGCCCTACTGACGCAGGTTTCTGGGTGGAAGGGAGTGTATGGGAGACCTCCCTTGCAATCACATAACACTGTCATGCAGCACTCTTTTTCCCCATAGACTGATCTGTCCCTGGTCAGCCACGCAGTCCTGAAATAGCATGCATATTTAAAAAGACAAATAAGTGATAATGTTGGATCAGGGCTACTTGAATACCCTATTAAAAAGAGGTGGCTCAGATATTCTTATTTCCACCTCTTTTGTCTGCTGTGAACTGGGGTGATACAGCCTAAAGGGGGTATGTGGGGTGTCTTCATGCGTGAAGTACTTGGTGCAGGTCAGGGCAATTGGGCTGGAAGCAATCATGTGTTGGCAACTCGGCCACTGTAGTTCTCAGTTTGGCTTTTGCTGTGTTGGGAGCTTAGGGGGTGGGGAGAAACCACAGCTGTAGTCTGTGTTATCACAGGGCTGTGCAGAGACTTGCTCCTCCTTGGTGCCGTGTTGGGCCATTCTTGGTCCTGAGGCTTTTAGCAGCCCCAGCTGGTGCAGCGTTCTGCTAACCTCCACCACCACCCTGCAGCAGATCCACTGCCGCAACCAGGGTTACACAGTCTCAGGGCTGGGGAGGCAACCTGTCTCACGTGCAGGGCTTGGTAAGGCTCTTTCTGCCCCCAGTGTGCTGCCTAGGAATCACAAAGGAGATTAATTATCAAAGCAGAGAACGCCTAGCTTCTGTAGCGGAATCTGTTCATTGTCAATAGGATTAAGTACCTATTAAAAAAGAAATACCTATTTCTTTTTTCCCATGTAAGGAGGGCAGGAGCATGGTGGGAAGACAAGGAGTTTTTGTGTTGAAGTGGCAGCAGCACGTTTTAGCAATCAACTAGAGATAAGGAAGGATACGCCCTGGGGATGGGAAGATTTGGGTTCCTTCATAGTTCTGAAGCGCATTTCCTGATTTTGCAGGTACAATGCAGTTACGGGGGACTGGGTTGAAGATGAAGTCCTCATCAAGATGGCTTCACAAGTAAGATCACACTGTCCTTCATGTTTATTAGCAGCCAAATTTGTTATTTCCTCCCTGTTACTGAATGGTGGCAGCAAGAAGTTTTCCTTATATAGAAGTTTTGAAGTTTCAATGTCATTCTTTTTTCCTACCTCTCTTTTTCCTCAGCTCATCCATTATGTTTTGGTGTCCCAACAGCCTTTTCTTCCCAGAGTAGAGTAGAACATGGAGTCAGCCCTTCCCTGTCAGCAACGTGAGGCATTTGTTCCTTTCCCAATGATCTCTCTTCCATTTTCTGCTGGCCTCATCTCCCCGCCTGGCAATAGTCCTACTATTTTGTGTGCTTCCAAATAATTTCTGCTGTTAGGATGAAAACAGACCAAATGTTTGGTGTGGGAGGATGGAAGCTACTGTCAGTTCCCAGTTAAATTATGGGGCTGTTGGTGTGTTGGAGTCGCCTTGTCCTGTGTTAGTGACCTAGTATCTGGTGTCTGGGGAGGTGATGCTGTTTGGCACGTCCTCTGTGGAAGCCTAAATGCAGAGAGCATGAGGTCTGCGAAGCCAGCTTCTCTACACTGCCACAACAGAGCTGACTCCAAACTGGAGAGAGAATTTAAATAGCGTCTTTAAAAGACATGTCACGTCTGCTCCTTGAGATACTGAGAAGGGACTTACTCCCAGTGTCTTTTCCCCACATTGCTACTTACACTGCCAGTGGGTTTTCACTTTTCTTTGAGGAGAAGCAGCCTATTTGAGAACTGCTTTCTGAAGGATATAAAGGGGAACACATGGTTGTGTCTCTTGCTGGTTAGAAAATAACTTTGTGGAAACGTCAATGCTGGGGTTTTGTTTGTTTCTTTTCCCTAGCCTTTTGGCCGTGGAGCAATGCGAGAGTGTTTCAGAACGTAAGTATCTGCTGGCTTTATCTCTGTTGGCCTCCATGCAGTATTTTCTTCTGTGGTGACTGGAATATCACTTAGGTTTGGTGGAGATTGTGTAAAGTGTGGCTCCCCATTAGCTCCCTGCTGTGTCTTTCTAAAAGGCATAGCTGAGGAGTTTATTCCTGTTTGTGTGTGACTTTAGACTAAGCATAGGAAGTGGGGATCAAAAAGCAGAATATTCTCTTAAGGGAAGCAGAAGCAAGTGTGGTGCAAGCATCCAGTAAGTTTGATTTGGAGAGTCAAGCCATTGCCTGTGCTGGAACTGTGGTGGGATGGATAATGTACAATCATGTCCAGTTCCAGCAAGTATAGTCAGCCTATCAATTAGCAATTTATAAATTTATGCTATTTCCACCATCTCTTGGATGCGAAATACTCATAAAAGTACAGAAGCAACTACTTTGTTTCTGTGTTCCTAGTGTGCTAAAATAGCTTCCCACTTGATAAGAGGTTGTGAGGTGTGTGCAGCCTGAAGCCAACTTGAGGCCTGTGGTTAGGCAGAGAAAAGGGGAAAGAATAGTTGGATGGTGCAATCTCAACTCAGCCTCCCTCAGCAAAGAGGTTATTCTCTCAGAGTTTACTTTGGATCACATCTGCCATACTTAGGACTATTCTGGTAGAACTCAAATACTCATAGTTACTCTTTCCATAAGGGTGACGTGTGGGAGAAGACAGAGGAGGAACTTTTCTTTCCTCAGAGAGCATTAGCAAATACGGTTGTGGGCATCAGCATCTAGCTATAAATCAGTTTGTGCTAGAAGAGTACCCCACCCTTTCCAGGCTCTGGAAATTAAAGAAATTAATATTTCCTGGAAAATGTACAGGTATGTGCTTAAGGCTGCTCCCCCTTCTTTCTGGCTGTGGAATGCAGAGAAATTGCTTTTCATGTCTGGTTTCACTTCTGCAAAGAGAAACTCCTGAATGACAAAAACATGTTTTGAACCTGAACAAAAAGGAGGATAAGTAACCTCTTTAGTCCTCCAGTTTGGCATTGTTTTAGTGTCGGTTCATGCAGGTGGCTCTGTTGTTGCAAAGCCAGATAGAGCAGTGAATGATGCCTAAGAAGTCACAAATCTTAGCCTGCTGACATTGCTTTTAGCTCTTGTTGTTTACCAAATTCTCCTTTGTCTTGAGTAGTGCCATAAACAGAAATTTATCTTCTCAGCTTTGCCTTAACCTCTTGTAAAAGAAAGCATAACTCGTATTTCCGCTTCCTAGTGCTGGATTTTCCATAACACTCACTAGTGCACTGATATTTCTCATCTGGAGCTTTCTCTTTTAGATTTTTGCAACTTTGTGAGTCCTTAGTCATGACAGTGATTGCACTTGGCTCAAGGAACTTCAGAGAGTGTTGGCTGTAGAAGGCACATGAGATGGCTTGTTTTGCAGAGAAATGAGTTTCTTCAGAGAACTGGAAAGGTTTCAAATCATGGCTGAATTCTTGTCTTGCTTTTTCCAAGGCCTCTGCTATAGCAACTGCCCATCCCTGTAGGACAGACAGTCTGAAGCTGCTTTGCCTTTAGTGTCCCCTGTAACAACCCCTTGCACCAATGTTCTTAGGAGGGAGAGGGGAAGGGTTGAGAGTTTGAGGGCTGCTACTACCTTCTCAAAATGTGCGACTTGCCATGGCACTGAGAGAGGCTCAGAGAAACCATTGTTACTGAGCAGAGGGTGAGAACCACTCAGGAGCCAGCCATGCCTTCCTCTAGATGCTTCTTTTCGTACTCCTCCTCCCCCTTCAGACTGGCTTGGCATCGCTGGCCTCTCCAGCTACCACTGCTGCCATGGTGGGGGGGCTTTTATACCTTTTTGCTATCTTCTTTGTATCTCAGCTCTTGGCTGAGGGGTTGTGGGAGGGGAAGAAGTTGCTCTAAGAAAGAAGACTGTGTCTGCTTTGGAATTCTAGATAATGTTTGTGGTTTTTGTTTTTTCCCCATTTGACTTGAATGTTGGCATCTTCTGCAACCACTGGGTTGCAGAATCCATTAATCCATTTGTTGGCAGCCAGCAGATCCTCTTGTCAAAGTCTTCCCCCTCCACTTTTGAGGCACGTGTGGATTAAAGTTTTGCACATGAACAAAAGTTAAAAGCTACATCGTAAGAACTGTTGGTGCACTTTTGCCTCCGGGAGCATACTACTGAGTAGTAATCCCTGTGTGTTGACAAGGCAGCAGTTTGCTCTTATCATAGGAGAGGGTTTTTCCTCTTGGTTCATGTTTGAAAGGCCATTCCCTGTACATTTCTGCGGAAAATTATTCTTGACATTAGAACAGGGCGTTGAGGTAGCACTGACCCTTTATACTCTGGGTTTGAGAGGAGCAGGGCGGAAAAGGAAATGAGAAAAGGAGGAAGTTCAGAGTAGAAGTAGGTACAGTCAAACCTAGCAGGCACTTTGACACATCCCAGCTGTTCATATGCAGTGTTGCTTTGTCCCTTGCCCTCTATCTGTGCTTTGCTTTTCAGCTAGCATATCTGGTAAATGACTGAGGGTAATGCTGACCTCAGGGCCTGGCCCTGTCCATGCGGGCAAAGAAGTGGGAAAGACAGAATTGAAATTCTTGGTTTTGCTTTCACCAATGATAGATTTGTCTTTCAGGAAAAAGCTGTCCAATTTCTTACACACACAGAACTGGAAAGGTGCCTATAACTATGTTGCCAAGCAATACATAGAGAGTGTAGACAGGGATGTGTATTTTGAGGATGTCCGACTTCAGATGGAAGCAAAACTCTGGGGAGAAGAGTACAACCGGCACAAGCCACCAAAACAGGTACGTTCACAGATCTTGCTAAGCAAAAATGCAGTCTTGCTCTCCTGTTAGATTAGTTTTCAATTTAATTTGCAGGGAATTACTTGTTCCCATTCTGTTAATAGATTCTTCTGCACTACTGTGTTTTCCATTAAATGGTACCTGATTTTTAATGAAGTAAATGCAGGAGTTGCTTACTATTTTCAGAATTAGGGACTGTGTGTTTGTGAATGTATGACTGTTCCCAGCTGTTGACTGAAGACCAAAATAAAACAGTGTTTGTCTTGCTTCTTTTGATATTTGCCCAGCTGCTTTTGAGATAATCAGAGATGTCACAGAACTCATTGCCAGCTGCAGTGTCAGCAAGCACTTAAGTGTTAGTGCTCCAGGAAGATAGATTCTTAAATCTTGCAAACCTATCTAAACACCTGGCTACCACTGATTTTTGAGAGGAGCTGAAAGCCTGAATAACTTTATGAAGTAATTCAAATACACATACCGGAGGAGTGATCAAATATTTTCCAAAAAATTAAGATACTATGGCTTTGTTTCCTTTAGGTGTCTCAATGACAATACTAGCACACTGTGTTAAGTGCAAAGTGTTAAGTTGTATGAAACTCCTGGGTGTATGGGATATCAGACTAGGCTGAGGTTATCAAGAGATGCTCCTGTCTTCTGTGTTAGTGATGTGCATAAACGCATAGGATTCAGGAAGAGGTGGTTCCACTGACTTGCTGGCTGTATTTCTGGTTCTGGGGTCCGTGCTAAATACTTTGTACAGCCAACAGAGCTTTGCACTTTTCCGTTCTGGTAAGTTGAATGGCTGGCCAAAGCTGGCCATTGTGTCCCTGGACAATGGACCTCCAGCAGCAATCAGCTTCTTACAAGACAAGAAACGAAAGTGCAGGCATGAGGGACTGCAAAGCTCACTTGCTCCTGGGCGGTAGCTCCTCTTTGAGTATGTCCATGGTATGTATCAATGAAGCTGTTGAGTCCCTTTAATGCACAGCGGGTACCGAATGCCTGAGTTAACTATGACTTCAGATGAGCAGAAAAGGCAGCTTGTAGGAGGGGTGCTGCACATGCACTGTGGTATCATGGTTCCTGCCCTTGGCTCTACCGCAGACTGTGTGTGACGTGACAAGATGGATGGGTCAGGAAGTGTGTCTCAGTGTGGGGGCCTTAGCCATTTAATAGCCAAAATGAGTGAGTACGTTTGAATATGTGGACTATTTGTATTGTCTTCCATATGAGGATTAGTTAATAACTACCTAACAGCGGCAAGGTGGGGTACAGAGTGAAGCACACAAAGAGGAATCTAAAAATCTAGAAGTTTTAAATGCCACGTAGGGGAGAAGGTGTAAGTAAAGTGAGAGTTGTGATGGTTTCTCCTTTAGGAATGTGTCTGGGAGAGAGGGAGGAGGTGAGGCAAGATACAGAAATATCTGAAGATATTCTGAAGAATATCTTCTCTGAAGAGGCATTTCTACAAGTTGTGCAGTGGTTACTGTATGTCTTACTTTCCGGGTACAGACTCTTTGGAGTGTACTCTTAAGATACCCACAAAAATAAAATAGCAAGTCAACATTTACTAAGAATTTTTAGAGGAATTTCCTGCCGAAGTGAGCTGTTTCGAAGTGACTGCTTTTCATTTATAGCATTTCTCCAATAACCTAAGAAACATGTGACTCTTCCCCCACCCTCTTGTTAAACAGACAGATCTTTGCAATTGTTCAGCTTCTGCTATTGGGAAAGTTTTCACAGCTGGAGGATTCAGACACACTTTGATCTGAAGGCGGTATTCTGTTTTTCATTGTTTATCTTCTTTCCCTCCCCAGGTGGATATAGTACAGACCTGTATAATTGAAATGAAGAACAGACCTGGAAAGCCTCTCTTTCATTTGGAACATTACATTGAGGGCAAATACATCAAATACAACTCAAATTCTGGATTTGTGCGAGATGACAACATTCGCCTTACTCCACAAGTGAGGGTTTGTTTAATGCTTTCCATAGAGTCTGCTGCAGGGAAATTCTTGGCTCTGTCCAGAGGTCTTGCATTACTGCCAAGAAATGAAACTGCAGGCTTTCCAGTACAATGCCAAATAAATTTCTCTTTTTGCAGTATGTCTACCCTTTATTTGGGGCTGGTTCTTTCAGCCACTGAGTGTGCTGCTTTATTTCATTTCAGTGTCTGTTGACTTTGAGTTCCATGTTTATTTGTTGTTTGAGTTTATTTGATGTGCCATGAGATCTGCTGCAGTTAAAATGCTTGTCTATGTCCACCCGTCACCTCTGTCAGGCCTGGCAGCGCATTTTTGGAGGCCTTCCCAGAAGATTCCTAATGTCTCAGCTTTACGCCAAAGAGAAGGGATTTTTATACCTGATTCTTGAAATGCTGCATTTAAAGGGAACTAATGCACGTTTCATTATCTGATACATGAATATAGAGCCAGATTAGCCATTCAGGGGGACCTCCCAAAGGCCCTAGTAGGGGAAGGAGAATTTCTAGGGGTGCTCACTCATTTGTGTTTTGTTTTTGTTTTTTATCCGAAATGTGGCAAAGCTTTGCCTGTTAGCAGAAGGAAGCAGCGTCCCAGGGCTGCAGAGCTTTGAGGTCCACGGGCACAGCCAGGATATTTATGCAGAAGCAATTCTGCACTGGCATCAGAGCCTGCTGTTGTTCTGTCTGCCAGGCTGCTCCCCACTTCCTAAGGTGAAGATTGTAGTGGAAAACAGAATCTCTGGTACAGGAAGGAGGAATAAAGCAATTTCCTCTCCCGTGCATGTTCCCACTGCTGGTTTTCATCCTGCCTCTTTTCGCCCAGTACTGAGTGGGGACAGGTTGGAGGAGCAATCTACTACATGCCTTTAGTCTCTCATTGCTTTCATTGTTATGTTTATACCAGTTATATTTCACTAATAGTGTTACCAGACTTCTTTGCCCATGTATAAGATATGAATGTGTGTTGCTGATTTCAGTAGATGGAGGGAGAGTTTTCTCAGACACCTTCTGTGGTTCTTCGCAGGCCTTTAGTCACTTCACCTTTGAGCGCTCAGGACACCAACTCATTGTTGTTGATATCCAGGGAGTTGGAGATCTTTACACGGACCCTCAGATCCATACGGAGAATGGTACAGATTTTGGAGACGGCAACCTAGGTAAAATCAATGATCCTGTTTCATGTGCTAATGGCTTCTTGCTTTCTCTTCTCAGCTGTCTGCTGGGTAGCCACTACACGGCTGAGTGAGCAGGCACGTTTCTGAGTGTCTTGCAAACTGCTGGGATCCCTGAACAGGGCAGCCGTCGTGCGTGGGCAGATTTGAAATGAGAGCTGATCTTGGCTCATGTCTCCTTGTCTACTCTTAAACCAAACAAGTAATGAAATTAAGTCACTTCCTGCAATGGGAGGGCAGTATTGGTGGCTTTTAATTTCCTTGCCATGTTGCAGGAATGGATACAGTTGAATATGGAGAGATAGGCCTTGCATATTTTTAAAGCTCCAAGTGTCTATACATGAAGTTGTTTATAGGAGACAGCAAGTTTTGTAAGCAGTATGAAATGTAGGTGTGTTTCTCAATGATGCAGCCAAATTAATTTATTATATCCTATGCATACATAGCCTTTGAAGATTTTGCAGTCCTCCTTTCCCTCTCTCTTGCAGAACGAATGAAAAGCCCTTACAGGTATTAAAATAAAAGGGAGGTGGTTTGAGCTGTGTGTGCTACAAAGCACATTCTCTTTCTTTATCTTTTGACTTTTTAGAAAATGCTTTGGGACTTCTAGCTTTTAATAAGCAAATTGTCATAAAAACTTAAATCCTTTCTTCACTATTTTTTAATGCTATAGGTGTTCGAGGTATGGCCTTATTCTTTCATTCTCATTCCTGCAACAAGATTTGCAAAAGCATGGGGCTTGCACCATTTGACCTTTCATCAAAAGAGAAAGATGCCTTGGATTGTAATAAAAAATTACTTGTAAGTGCTTGATGAAAAAAAGTGTAAGTAAGCAGTATAGCTGATTTATTCTAATTTTAAAAGCCCTTTAAATAAAATTCAAATATGCTATTTAAATGGCAGATATAACCACCTAAATCACTAATGTTGCAGTTTAAAATACAGCATTTTAAAGCTGACTTACCCACACTTGCCGCTGAATTAATACTGTAGCTTTAATGCATAGGGAACCTTGTAACACATGTAAGTTTAGGACCCAGTATATCTTTGAATGCTGAAATCATTAGTAAGTTTCATACCTCACAAACCTAATTTGGGGAGACCAAAATAATAGAACTGCTCGTCTTTAACTGATCTCAGTTTCAACTGATATTAGTGAGACTGGGACCTGATGAAATGCTTTGAATGGAAGTGTCTTAAACAGAACTATTTGACTGTAACTGTGCCAGGTCTAGATATTTTGATGGGTTATAGAACTTTTCAAAGCAAATAATTATGTATACACATGTGTATTTATACCCGCCCTTTTGTACAGGGGGGTAATAAACATTCATGTTGGCTTATGTAGCATGCTTAGAATACAGAGAAGCATTACTCATGGGACTTTCTTGTTAATTTGCCAAGGAATCTGCTCAGACGATTCTCCGTGGCACAGAGGAAAAATGTGGCAGCAGCCGGGTGAGAACAGTCTCTGGTAGTCGACCTCCTCTGCTCTCCCGCCTGTCTGAAAACTCCGGAGATGAAAGCACGAGTGATGTGGCGTTTGACTCTCTGCCCTGCTCTCCCTCCTCAGCAACCCCTCACAGCCAAAAGATGGACGTGCTCAGTGAGTGATCCTCATACCTAACTACCTTGGGGGCTCCTGAACGCTTGCAGTGACTTATTTTATTTTCTTGATTTTAAACAGAGCAGCATGTTGTATTTAGTCCAGAATACTTGTCTCTAGCTTTCCTCTTTGAGCAGAAATAAAACTAAAACTACTTCTGTGTAGATTATTAGTGCACAAATGCTTCTGTGAAAAAAATGCAGTCACATGATGGTATCTAGAGCTTTCTCCTCAAACATGTTATCCTTACAGTAAGAAGCAAGTATTTTTCTTCCTAGGTTGGCCTGTGTTCAATGAAGTAGATAACTTGGTTCACAAAGAGTATGATCAGCTTGATAACCAAAGGGTGAGTTACTTAATTAATGTGTCTTTAAAGGATGGCCTGAAGTCTTTGTGTAGTAAAAGCACATAAAGGTGCTCTGCCTGTTCTCATTGCTGCAGGTCACGTTACCTGCATGCATTTGCTCTTTCTAATGAAGGAAGAACATTTTATTTTCAGATAACAACATGATTTTTTTTTTTTTCCACTCTGGAAATTTATGTGCTTCTGATGTATTTTAACAGATAAGGAAAGTGTAAATCTGTTCCCCTGCCTGGATGTTGTGTCTTTGGCACTGCTGTGGTATGAAAGCTAAACAGAATCCCCATTGATTAGGTCACTGCAAATACTGGTACTGAGGGATGTTAGAAAACCTCACCTGAGGAGACTGCAGTAAGTTTTCCATGGGAGTTTTCCAACACCAGGGCCTTACTGCCAGAGGCTGCCAGTTACTGTTTTACATTTTAACTGGCTACCACTGAAGAATGAAAACTGTATTCAGGGAACTCTTGGTTTGATAAAGTATGTGAGTCCTTGACTTTTTATTAATTTTTTGTGTGTGTATCTAAGAGAGAACATAAACTTGGACAGTACCTTCTCGGTCAGTAAATCCTGTTCTATCTGTCAGAGGTAACATAACATATGTTATGGCTTAACCCCAGCTGGCACCCAGGACCACGCAGCTGTGGGTCTCCTCCTTCCTCCAGAAGGGCACGGAGAAAAGGTGTGGACGGGAAAGGAAAAAACTTTGTGGGTTGAGATGAAAACAGTTTAATAGAAAGAGTAACAAAAAAGGAAAATGACAATAATAGTAATAATGACAGAAGTGACTCGCTACCCGGTGAATGGGTACCTATCTGATTACTGATCCCCACCCTGCTCCCGGCTGATCCCCGTTTATATACTGAGCATGATGTCTGTGGTACGGGACGTTCCGTCTTTCTGTCTGTGCTCCTTCTCAGCTTCTATGGGAAGCTGAAAAGAGTCCTTCAAAAATTCAAACATTGCTTAGCAACAACTAAAACAACATGCATTATTGATATTCCTTTCATAGCAGTTACTAGAAAGAAAATTATCTCCCAGCTGAAACCAGGATAGTACACAATAATGGTCTTCCAATATATCCATCCGACATATCTTATTGAACCAGCAGAAAGTTTTCTGTGGGAAATGTTAAGCTGAGATCCTCACAAAGGGTAGTGCTATGTTTTGTTCTTATCTTCTATAGGATTTTGAAAACGGTGGAGACAGCGGTTATCCAAGTGAAAAGAGAAGTGAGCAAGAAGATCTAGATCATAGAGAGAGGGTAAGAATTTAGCAGAGTTGGGCCTGTTCATACTCGAAGTGTTTCAAGACAGAAGAATCTTACAGAGAAATACAATAGAGGAATCTTATTTTTTATCCCTCTTGATCTAGACTTTGTAAACAGAGGAAACTATTAGAAAGAAATTCCTGCATGTTGCAAACTTGCTTACTCATCTTGGGAATGCTAATGACGCTTTTACAGGAGAGAGACTATAATGAGGAGCTTAATTTTAAACACTACGTTTGATTGCATATTGTTGTGGTGTTTTTAAGTATTCTCTATTGCATTTGAGAAGGGTAGCCAATTTCTTGTCATATGGAATCCGTGGATATGATCTACTTTCAGACTCTTACCCTCTCTTCTTTCTATGACTTTATAAGGTTTAGGATATCATAGAACTTAATGTTGTTGTCAGTTAACATGCATCTTTAGAATTCCTGTGGGTTAGTTGGTTACTGCTTTAAAATACAGACTTTGAAAGGAATGCTTTTTGACCTGAAGTTCTTAACTAGATATTTAAATAGAAGATAGGAAAGAGAATACTGCTTCCAGAATACTGATGCTACTCCTTTTGTCACCTTTGAAATGACGAGGTTTTTGTCATGGGATATCCAGTTTACAGGATTAGAGAATGTGTGTGCCATAATTTTTACCATTTCAGTATGTTTCTTTTTATATTGCGCTATCACTGAAAGAAAAGAATCCAGTAGAAACTGTTTTGGTCATTGTCACTATTAATTTTGCTGGATAAGAACAGTCTAGAGGGAAACTGGCGCACATCAGTTGCTGCAAATTAAATTATGCAAATCTTTACATTAACGTAGGGCCATTCAAACAACAATCGAAGACATGAATCTGATGAAGACAGTTTGGGAAGCTCTGCAAGGGTAAATAAAATAGAAATGTTCATAGACGATGAGTTTGCCACTCTGCTTGCCCTTTGTTCCACTCATCTGCCATCTAACTTTACATCACTAAACCAGATGTCAGTTTTCCTTCCTTTTCACCTACAGATTATGCTTATTAATATTAACTTACCACTCTGTGTTTTTTCCTTTTTTGTTTTGTTTTTATTTTCCAGTTAAAGAAGTAATGTTATAAAGAGATTGTCACCTCTGTAACTGATCTCTAACATAAATTAATGATTATGCATAGCTTTCTCACTTTAAAAAAAAAAAAAAGACAGTTCTACAGATATTTTTTTTTCCTGCCTAACTAGATTTTATTTCCTTTCTGCACTTTATTTTTGGAATTATTTCCTGATAAGTAGTAACTTTAATGGAGGCTTTGATTTCTGGAGGTATCCATATTGAATAGTTTGGAAATTTTAATTTTGGATAGAAATTATAGTATATTTCCTATTTCAGGTCAGTGTGGAGAAATGGAATCTCTACAACTCTTCCAGAGTCCATATCCACAGACCATCCTGTGTTGCCCAAGAAATTCAGAGGCTTAATGCACTAGAACTTGAAAAGAAAATTGGGAAGTCAGTCCTTGGGAAGGTAGGATGGGTGCAGTAATCCTGTTCTTTCCAACTGGAAAGGAACGTCTTGCATTTATTACTTACATAGAGGTGTTTCTCTGCGTGAGCTATTTGTGCAGATGAAAATGTCTATAGCTTTCTGTCACGTAGTCCTATTTTATAAAGGACATATCAGCTCAGGAACCCATGAATTTCCTCTGTCTTTGGACTTGCAACATCTGGGCTCCTTTGGGAGGGACCCTGTTGTTGGTTCACTTGCCTTTCCAGAGGATTCACACAGAGAAGATAGAGTGGGATAGATATGGTGTGCATGATCCACACCTTGCAAATAGGCAAGGTTGGGCTCCTGAAAAATGGTAGCGTGGACCAACTCTTCTTACTCCAGACTATCCCAGCCAATGCAAATGTGAATTAAGTCTGGGTTTATGTGTGGGCTTAAGTCCACGCTCAAAACATACAGTGTAGATCTTCCTGAATATCCTGAGAGCCTCAGGGGTTTTCAAACCTTTTGGTTTGAGAAGAAACCTGCCTTTTCCTTGGGGAAGGGAGGGGGAAAAAAAAAAAACCCAACTCAAAATCCCCCAACATGTTTGGAATGAAATTCTGCCCCGACTCCGCTCTGACAATAAAGGCTTCAGTGGTGTGAGGATTTTACCCTGGATAACCTTCTTGATTTTCTGTGCCTCAGGTTAATTCCTTCCCTGTAGGGGCCCTTGTGGTACCCATGGTCTCTGCCATGTGCCTTGCTGGCTGGCAGATTAGGCAGCTGCTGGCTGGGTGCTTTTAACTTTGGCTCCCTCCTAAAGGTCTCCAAGGCCCTAGCACATATGCTGGGACATGCCCCTCAGACCTGGTCCTCTGGTGTGGTAACCTGCTGGGATACTGCTTAGGGCACACCAATGTGGGGAGATTCTTGTTGAATTAGGTCTTTTGTCTCTAGGTCAAATCTGCAAAGCTGTATGTGTTTAAGCTTACAGAACTGGACAGGCAGTTGCCCTGCCTATAATCACTTTTTGCCTGTTTAATCTGTTCAGGAGCAAGTCAGGCTCTGTGTGTTATCAAACTAGTCCTCTGCTTAGTCACAGAGAGGTACAAAATTAGCTTTAATTAAGTAGTGACCTCAGAGAGGTATTTTTGTGCCTAAGTAAATGTTGTGGTTTGGGCCAGACTGAGCATGGGGATTTTGAAGAATCAGGTCTATACTTGTGGCTCTTTCCTGTGCAATTGTGTTCTAGGTGCATTTGGCCATGGTTCGCTATCACGAAGCTGGGCGTTTCTGTGAGAAAGACAAAGAATGGGATCAGGAGTCAGCCCTGTTCCACCTGGAGCACGCTGCAGACTGTGGGGAACTGGAAGCCATCGTTGGGTTAGGGCTCATGTGCTCTCAGCTGCCACATCACATTCTTTCTGAGGTCACTCTGGAGGTAAACAAATATCAAAGAAAATGCCAAAATGCAGAATTGTGGTCCATTGTAAAAATAACATAAGAATAACAAGAAATAGAGACAAAACAATAACTAGAGTTAGGTGTTCTTTAGCCTCTTCAGAGAAAATAGATAACTTTGTAATTAAGGACTGACAAAGCAGCAAAAAAATTCTGCCTCTTCCTGGTTTTGCTAGCAAATTACTACAGATCTTCAGGATGTTTTTGAAGTGATCTTTACTATCCAGCAGCTTAGGCTTTTTTTGGTTGTGCCTGTTTCTTAGGCATGCTAAACACTTGCAGCTATTACTGACTTGGAGAAGCTGCATTTAGTGTTAGAGGGAGGAAGGGATGGTTTTACTTAGAAACATGCATTTTAGAGGTTTTGTTTGTTTTACTAGGACACGAAGGAGAACAGAAAAAAAGGATTTGATTACTTGCTGAGAGCAGCAGAAGCTGGAGACCGGCCTTCCATGATTCTTGTAGCAAGAGCCTATGATACAGGTGTAAATCTTGGTTCAGACAGGTACTATGCACGACTGAGTAATTCACTTGTTGGTACTCCATGGGAGGAAGCACTTGATATGCATGTCTTCCATTCATGTAAAGAGCTGTTATGTCAGTAATGCTATGAAGTAGCATTTTGGAGTTACTTAAAACTTCCCCAGGTGTGAATGAAAGCAAGATTTAGGCCATGATAGCAGAGATCATGTCTACTGTTGGATGCAGCTGTGTGTTTGAGTTTGGCTGAGGTTGCCCTGTGATGGCCAAGTATTTTTGCTCTGAAGTTGGTGATAAAACTCCCCTTGACTTCAGTGGGAGTTGCATTCTTGAAAGTCTTGGGATCAGTGCTAACAAATGAACACAAGAGATCCTTTAGAGATGTAGTACCCTAAAAGTAAGTGAAAAGTATTTACAACTGCTGTGTCTCCTTAGTGGTGTTTTTGAAACCACTTTTTTTTTTTTTCAAGTGGGTGTCGTTTTTTTTCCTAATTAAACTATGAAAGAAGCTGTGGAATAGGAGAATTAGGTGAAGTTGTAAAGTGACTATTGACAAAATGCAGTCAGATGAACAAAGTATTTGTCACAGTTGTAGCCTCTACTGCTTCTCATAATAAAAGTAGGAATGGAAATTTCACAGGAATATAGTCTTAATGCTGAGGATATTACTTTTAACTGAGGATGGTTTTAAGAAATTTAAAAATGCTTTTACCTCAGTAAATCTCTCTAAATTTGGCCAAAAGTCCTATTTTGATAGGAGGGATAGGAGCAGCATTGTGACTAAGAAATAGATTGTGCACTGAGCATTCTCAATATGAAAATCACTGGTTTTAAAGTATTTATGAAACAAGACTCTCTGCAACTTCAGAATGTCTCTAAATTAGTTACCTTTACAAATATAAATGCCAGACCAAAACCACTGAAACTATAACAAGAGCTTAGACTCTGGAGCTCAGCACAGTACAGCCTGATACTTCCTCCTCTGTAATTACTGCATAAAGTGGTCCCAGCCTCATTTGATTTAGTGGCCTCATGCTGCAGTGTGGAGTTAGTGAGCCTCTGTGAAAACATTAGCTTTCTCGGAGAGCATCAAGGCTCTGAGAAGCTGCTGCAAAATTGAATTCTGAGTCTCCAGTGCAAGTACATTTGTTTCCTAAGGTAACCATCTTCAAAAATTGTTTTGAACTTCAGAGTACGGGATTGGAAGGAGGCACTGTACTGGTACAACGCAGCACTGAACATGACTGATTATGACGAGGGAGGGGAATATGATGGCACTCAGGATGAGCCCCGGTATCTGCTGCTGGCCAGAGAAGCAGAGATGTTAATGACTGGAGGGTTCCACCTGAGTAAGGATCCACAGAGATCAGGTGAGGCCTCATTTTGTTTCTGTAATCAGTAATCCTGCTTTTCCTTCCCTTTTCCCTCACTCAATGTGTGTCCCAGAAGTACATTTCCTGCTTCAGCTGTTGCAAAACATGCAGAGGGTCGGTACCCTCACATTTGTAGATGAAGTGGTAATGATGCTGGGTGATAGAAGCCTGAAAGCAGCAAAATAAGAGATCGTGATGGTGTAGGGGTCGGTGCCAGCCCCGGTCCTGTGACCCAGTGAGTCACTCACAAGCCACCTTTGCTCCCTGTGAGGCCACTGAACTGCAGCTTGTGGCTTGTACTGAGTCACAGCTGTGATCCCAGGCCTGACACAGCATTGCCTTAGTTGTGTCATGTACGTGGGTCTCGGGGGCCTCAGGGGGCTCCTACCGGCTGGTCATATTTCGAGTCCTTGCAAATCCATTGAGGAGCCTTCAGCAGCCAGTCATGCAGCTTTCAACTTGAAGAGTGAAATCCAGACTCCCAGCCAATGTAACTCTACTGACACTATTAAAATACGCTCATTCACCCGCCCCTGTAGTTTGACCTCATTTCTCTTTTTATCCTTTAATTGCTTCAGGATAAAGAGATGTTTTTTCTTTACCCTGTACCATAACTGGTACTATTTCTTCCCCAGGTGAGCTGTACACAGAAGCAGCGGAAGCAGCAATGGAAGCCATGAAAGGCAGACTGGCGAATCAGTACTACCAAAAAGCAGAAGAGGCTTGGGCGTTGATGGAAGAATAACACCGCAATTAAGCGGTTCTTGTGTACAATTTTTTTTATATAGACTTGCTGCTTTTGCAGCTAAAAAGATAGATTTTTATGTGGTGTTAGCAGTTTCTTTTTTTTTTTTTTGTATTTTAGTTTTTGGGGGTTTTTTGAAGGGGGGAAATCCAAATGTAAGTGATATGTAGGGTGCCAGAGCGTACTTCTGCAGTGTTTTAAAGCTGTAATACAGACACACGTGACCTTTTGTTGTTTTTTTAACTGTTAGAACTGAGGGGCTTAGGTTTTTTGATGAATAATGAAGCTGATGTCTATTTAGGTTTCACATGTCCTGTTTTTTACACAGCAGATCATCAGTGTGTTTACATTTTCTTCTCTCCATATACAGAAAAACATTTTCCTAAATTCTCAGCATTTCTTCATCTTCTTTGGTGTTTCTCACCGAATTTGCATGTGAATGTAAATTTTCAAGTGAGGCATACAGCTACTCATTTTAATAAGTAGTCCCATTCTATTATGCTGGTGTCATTGGGCACTTCTGTTATTCTTCTCAAACAAATTCCAGATAGAACCCTTACAGTTGGGGGGGGGGGGGGTGCTTCAAATTGGCAGTGAG